CACACACACACACACACACACACACACACACACACACACACACACACACACACACACACACACACACACTGAGTTTAATACTCTTCATGATGTTGACATCAAAGAATGGAATATATTTTCTGACGAGTTACACCAAAAGTAATCTAAAAGTAATCAAAAAGTAGTCGGAATACATTACCAAATATGTGTAATCCAATATCTTATGCTACAAACTACAATTTCCCTCATGTCATTTGGATCAGTAACGGAGTACACTTGGTAAGTAATCTGCCCAGCTCTGATTATAAGTATTTTTGCATGTCAGGTTATTCTACTCACCCTAACCTAACAGTCCTCTGATGCTCTGATGAGAGTTAGCTGACATGCAGTTGCAAAGTTACTTATAGTTAGTAAAACGTCTGAAGTGGACTATTGAAATAAAGTGTGAATGCAAGAAAAAACTCCAGACTGCTACCTGAAGTTGTCATTTCTAATGCTGTTTTACCTTTACAGTAAGTACTGAAGTACAATTAAATGGGGAAACTTTTTTATTCCAAATAAATCATTGGCTAGATACTTGTGTAAAATGCTGAGACAGTTCCCACACTGTAACTTACGATTCCTCTGTACTTTGAAACCCCTGAGAGCAGAAATGAGCCAATAAAACGGCGAGAGCGTGATGCAGCGCCAGCGGAGGGCGAGGCCGTGGGAAGACAGAGCCAAAAAAAACCCTGCTGCCCACGTCTCCTTAAACGCTGTCGCATCCCTGGTTTTTGGCTTCGTTTTTCCCGTTCTGTGCAAATCAATGTAAGACAAGTGCAAAACCTTCCTGCATTCTGAGAAGAAGAAACTGTGAGAACTAATACTGGGATTCAGTCGGGGAGGAAATGACCTTGCAGTTTCTGTATTATAGCACAGTATGCATTCCTTTAGCTCAAACAGCTCAAACTTGCAACGCGAGGTCATGGGTTCGATTCCCAGGGAATGCATGAACTGATCTAGTGTATACCTTAAATGCAATGCAGGTCACTTTGGATAAAAGCATCTGTCAAATGCATAAATGTAAATGGCTCAAACAGTAGATCATGGTTTGCAACGCTAAGGTCATGGGTTCGATTCCCAGGGAATGCATGAACAGACAAAATGTAGACCTTGACTGCAATGGATAAAAGCATCTGCCACTTGCATAAATGTAAATGTGTGTGCAACGCAAACACAAAGCTGTGAGTGTTTAAATGTCCTTCTGTAGTGTGCACTTGGCCAGTTGAACTCGTGTCTTCACTACACGAATGCTGCTGTTGCCCCGACACTCGCTTGAGCAGTTCACCAGGATTTCATCCTTTTCTTCATGTTTCTACAGCAGAAAATCAGTGCAAAAAAATTTCAAGCTGGTTCAGGAGTGACTGTGGCAAAAAAAACAAAAACCTAAATGTGTGAGGAAAATGATCATGTAATGAATTCCTGTTTTATTAGTGAAAAGTGATATTTGATTATTGTGTTCTATGCATATCCGGTTGGGAGTTTAGTGTCTGTTTCTGTCAGATTGTGTAGTTCAGATTGTTTTTGAATGGGAAGCCAAGATGGAGTGGTGTTTGATTACAAATAAATAAATATGGTGTTTTTATATGTTTAGAAAACAATGTGCTCTTTCCTCTTGGTAAAAAGTGTATTTCTCACTGGCTGATAATATCTGTCTGTCCTGTGAACATTTGCTGTTTTTCTAACATGTTTAATTACACACTGCTGTAACAGCAACAGATCTGACTGTATTGCTGTTCATGTGATTCATGTGGTCTGACTTGAGAAGTTAAAATCGTTTTTTTTTACAGGATCTCAGATCGAATATAGAGTCACACTCCCCTCTAGTGGTCGAAATAAAAACAGTCAAGACTGTATTAAACTATATATATATACTGCATATATGTGACCCTGGAGCACAAAACCAGTCTTAAGTGTCAATTTTTCACAATTGAGATGTATACATCTTCTGAAAGCTGAATAAATAATCTTTCCATTGATGTATGGTTTGTTAGGATAGGACAATATTTGGCTGAGATACAACTATTTGAAAATCTGGAATCGTAGCTGTAATCATCCAGGTGTTCTGGGATTTTTGGTTTCACTGTGCAAATGGAACCTTAAACCTTGTGACAATCTTAATTTGTACATTTATATTTGTTTGTAAAAATGTTTACATATATGTGACCCTGGAGCACAAAACCAGTCTTAAGTGTCAATTTTTCACAATTGAGATGTATACATCTTCTGAAAGCTGAATAAATAATCTTTCCATTGATGTATGGTTTGTTAGGATAGGACAATATTTGGCTGAGATACAACTATTTGAAAATCTGGAATCTGAGGGTGCAAAAAAATCTAAATATTGAGAAAATCATCTTTAAAGTTGTTCAAATGAAGTTCTTAGCAATGCATATTACTAATCAAAAATTAAGTTTTGATATATTTACGGTAGGAAATGTACAAAATATCTTCATGGAACATGATCTTTACTTAATATCCTAATGATTTTTGGCATAAAAGAAAAATCTATCATTTTGACCCATACAATGTATTGTTGGCTATTGCTACAGATATACCCCAGCGACTTAACACTGCTTTTGTGCTGCAGGGTCATATATATATATATATATAAATAAAAATAAATAAATCAGCTTTTGTTTAAACCATGATTTATGTTGTGATCTGAAAGCGTTAGATTGCTTCTGAAACACTTTGGTTCACTGTTTCTTTATTCAGGATGATTTGTAATCTTTATATTGATAACTATAGCACTGAGAGTGATAAATTATTATAAACGGCTGTACAAAGTTATATGAGTTTTGTCTATACTGAGATGTTTGATCAATAAAACCAACTGTGTTTTTGTGGTTATGTTTTGTATGAGGTGCTAAATATTTCATGCATTTATCCAGAACTGCTTTACACAGAAATCTCTTCTGCTCAGCGAGGATGCATTTATCTGATCAAAAAATACAGTAAAAACTGTAAATCTGCTTTCTATTTGAATATTTTAAAATGCTTTCAGCGTCACCTGATCCTTCAGAAATCATGCTGATTGTCACTCAAGAAACATTTATTATTATTATTATTATTATAGCTGGCACACACAACACTGACAAAAAAAAGCAAACTTTGAAATATTCTCACAAAATCATGAAATATAGCAACGGAGGGTTTACATTTCTTCCGTTGCATGTGTAAATGTGGTATGTCAGAAACAAAGAAATTCAATATATTCTCAAAAAACGGTATTTTCTAAAACCAAGCTATAAATATTATGATTTTTCACCGAAAGCTAATTGAAAACATCCAAACATATCAGCGCAGTAAATACTGTGTTCAAGAGTTACAGGAAGAACAAACTGAAATCTCTTCTGTAAAAATGCCGTGTGGATTTATTCTATTTTTATCGAGTTTATTTAATCTTTGGGGCAGCAGGTTTTATCAGATCTCAACATCACCAAAGCTGTAGCACTGAAGCTTAAAAACTGTACATTACTGTTATTACACTTCATTTCAAATAATTTACTGTAAAAAGTACTTCACTGTCTTTTTTTTTTTTTTTTTTAGCAATTTAATGGATCCTTAAATGAAAGTAATTTCTTAAAAATCACAATGACCCATACATTTGAAAGGTACTGTAAATATAATAACAGTCCTCATTATAAACACATAATAATCAACTTTGTAATATTCAGTGAAGACGATTAGACTACGTTTTGTTTGAATAAGTAGGAGGTTGAGAAACACTGGTTTAGTACATCAAAATAAAAAATTAATGTGCTCAAATTATGATAAAATTCAGTGATAATGATAAAAGGTTTTTTAATTAACGTTAAAAAAAGTTTTTTTAATTTTTTTATAATTATTTAAAAAATTTTTTTTTTTTTTAAATATGTAAGCATTAAACCCGCTGACATTTTTTTTTATTTATACAAAACTGATAAATAGATAGAACTCTTTTAATATCATACCACACATTTATTGAAGTTATTTAAACAGACTCAGATCAAGTCGGACTTTTCTCTGTATTAAAGTTTGTCATATTGGACTGCTTTATTAAACCGCACTGCTGCCGCGTGTTCTGCGTGTAATGACTGCGCCTGGCCGCTGGGTGTCGCTGTCGCCGCAGGAATCAAGCTCTCAGGTGACGCATTAAAACCTGGCGGCGGGAAACACGAACACAAACACACGCGGTCGTGACGGAGCAGCGATTCATGAGTGAGTATCAACACGATCAGCAGCACAGATAGTGATAGTCAGGGTTAATGCCAAGGGGGACATTTCGTTCATGGTTTTTTTATTAAGAAACAGACTTGAAGCCGTCTTTGAAATGAAGAGAGTTTAATGATCAGTTGAATTATTTAATTGATTTCACTTTCAGATTCAGCGGATCATGAGGGATCTACCGGAGTCAGTTTAACTCTGCTTTCTTCTGTTATTTCTGGCGAACTGTCGGTCAGTCTTTTTTAAAGTCCTCGTGAGGATTTCTGTCATAATCAACGGTCTACGCTGCAGGTGGGCGTCGTGACGTCATCACGCGAGTTCACCGGCAAAGGTCACAACAACTAATAATAATATAAATAAATGACGGATAGTGTGCTTATTTGCGCATAATGACTACTTGCAGTCAGGGCTGGGTAGATTACATGCAATTTGTAGTCCGTTACAGATTATAGGATGAAAACTGTAGTTAGTAACGTAATCTAGGTTACTGGTTTTAGTTAATGACCTACCTAACTCCATCCGAACAGCCCAGTCCCTCACAGTCTTCAACTGAAAACTCACCTGTTCTGTGAGCATCTAACTGCCTCCAATAATAATAATAATAACTAGATAAAAAAGTTTGTCAAGAGAAAGCCTAGCCTGAAAATTTGGAGTAGTTGTAAAAGCTTGAAAAGTTTGAAACGCATGTAAAGTTTAAAATTTAGATAGATGGATGGGTGTTGATAAATGTTGCTAGCATGTTTCTACAGTATTAGCATGATGTTAACATGTTGCTAACATGCTTCTGACGTGATTAGCATTTTTGCTAGCATGTTTCTGGCATGATTAGCATGTTGCTACCACTATTAGCATGCTAACATATCGTTAATCATGTTTCTAGCATGATTAGCATGACGTTAACATGTTACTAGCATGTATCTAGAATAATTAGCATGTTGTTAGTATGTTTCTAGCATGGTTTGCATGTTGCTAGCATGTTTTTAGCATAGTTAGCATGTATCTAGCATGTAGTTAACATGTTGCTAGCATGATTAGCTACACTGCAGACGAGCTTTCGGTCGTGTCACAACTCCTACGGCGCAAGTGCGCTCAATGACATGCTTGTAGTGTAGATGATGATGTCACAGCATGCTCACTAGTGAGTGTGAGTAGGATAGTCTAGTTTGTCTTATGTGGACATCGTAGTGTACCTGCTTGCAGTGTAGACTACCTCGAAGCCGATGTATTGCTTAGTCATGAGAATTATTTCTGATTGCATAGGACAGAACTGTAGAAGAAAATTAATAACGGAAATACATCAGGGTACCACAAAATTATTATATCGTATAAACGTACCTAAAATCAGATCAGTTTATCTGATACGCGAACGTGTTAAGGCTATTGAGACTGGTTTTATAGCTTGAATGTAGGCATAAAAAGTCTGCCACAAGAAAAACTGTGCAGCTAATTGATTTCTGAGTGTGTAAATTAATTTTCAGTTCACACTCTTATGTTCCGTCTCAATTTATAGATGTTGGAAACTGCTGTCAATCCTATGGAAACGAATTTAATTAGTTTGTTTTTTGTGCATATTTTGTGTCTTAAACGACTGATGAAACAAGTTTAAATGTTAGTCAGAACTGCATGTCTATTAGGGCTGTCAATTTTTTTTTTTAAATTTCGAATATTTGTCGAATTTAAAATAAAAATGCACATTCGAATGCAAAAACGTTGCATTCGAATTTTAGGTGTGCGTTAAGGCTGCAGCCTGATCAGCGGCGCACAAGATGCGATGACGATGTGAGTGTCGTAGCATTATAATGTGTTTGTTAGCTTATCCAGTTGAAGCCACTAGATGGCGCTGCTACGTTGTTCATTACAAATATTGCGGGAAAAGAGAACATAAATGCGGAGAAGATCTTGTTTACGTCAAAACCGAAACCAAGCCGCTCACACAGAACACGTATTTCGCGCACTTTCTAGACGGACATCTATCAGCGTTGCACTCGCGTCTCGCACAAAAGAGCCGCATGTTTAGAAAGCCATGCAAAATTAATGCAAGTTCAACTTTGAAAAAACATATCTCGAGACTTATGGCGGGTTTTTTCCCCGTCCCACTGCAATTCATGTTTTTAAATGAGAAATGTACTCTGTGTGATTGGCTTTCGGTCCTTTGTATTAAACTATGCATACATACATGATGCTGTTTTGTTTATAGTTGTTTAAGCAACTTAATTACAATTCGTTTATAAACATAATTTTAAACATTATGCACTTTTTTTCCACGGATGGTCATGTTATCTTATGCTTTGAATAAATGTGCATTAGTAATATTTTGCTCGATGCGCCCTCTTGTGGCCTCAGGAGAGAAGACAAATGCTTTTCTTCACCCTAACTGAAATTATGCATTTTAAATTCCAATATAATTCGAATTTTGATCATATTTAAGTAGAAAATTCGAATTTAGTTTTTCAGCCATTTTGACAGCCCTAATGTTTTAGTTTTCCAGTGAAAATGTCTAAAATTCCTTAAAATAAGACACATTTATGATATGTGCAAACATCAGAGAATATATAAATGTTTTATATTAACTTTTTTTTTTAAGCTAATGCTTTTTTAAACTAGATGCCAACTCACATCTAAATGATTTTCTAACAGTTCGTTTATTTTTCTTAGTTTATTTAAACATACAGAAGACATTCAGAAACAGGCTCATTTTATAAATTATCTTTAACCCAGGGTTATTATAGTTATATATCTACAACTAAAGCCATAAAAAAAAAAAACGTTTTTGTTGCTTAAATAAAATAAATGCTTAAAATACAAAAAAAAAACTACTTCCCAAGGCAATATTTCTAATTTTTAATTTATCTTGATGTGCTAATATAACTAAAACTGAAATAAAAATATTTTAAAACAACAGAAATTAAAAAAAAAAAAAAAAGACAAACGTAACACAATTACTAAAACTTTAACATAAAAGCAGGAAATATAAAAAGAAAAATTAACAAGCAGAAGATATAAAAATTAAATCTAATTCAAAATATTAACAAAAATCTCAAAGATGCTGGTTTAACTGCTGTCAGTTTTCTAAAAATAACTTATAATTAAATTTCAATAATGCTTATTTTTATTTAATTTATCTTGATTTACTAAAATAAGTAAAACTGAAATAAAAATATTTTAAAACAACAGAAATGAATAAAAAAATGACAAACAACACAATTACTAAAACTTTGACATAAAAGCAGGGGGAAGAAATTAACATGAAAGCAGAAAATATAAAAATAAAATCTAATATTAACAAAAATCTCAATGATGCTAAAATAACACTGGTTTAACTGGGTGTCAGTTCTCTAAAAATAACTTATTTTCTTTCTATTTTCACTAAACAACTCATCTGAAACCAAATGTGTCAGCAAAACATTTTTTTTATTAATAAGATCAAATTACATGTGTATATGACAAACACTATACATGAAATTAACAATTTCACACTAGAGGGGCTGTATAAAAAATACAAGTTTATATCAAAGTGTTTACAAACTTGCACCGTTTTAATTGCTTTTCGTTTAATAGAAAATCGTATAGTATTAATATAATACTCCATTTCCTTCCTAAAAGAAAAAAACAAGGTTTTTTGCAGGAGAACTTACATTTGTGAATATGAAATTTTGACAGCAAAACATATTATTTTTGCAAAGCTAATGTTTGGGTTTAGCATGGAGTGCTCGCTGACGGCTGTGTTTTGTGCTGTAGCTGGTGTGTGTTGCGTGATGCAGCCGGAGCAGATGCTGGAGGCTCCAGGGTTCAGGCAGAGGCTGCTGGAGGCGTTGAGTCGAGGCAGACGACAGAAGTACTGCCTCCCTCTCACGCATGTCCCACCCGCATCCTTCTGCAGAGGAGAGGAGGACAGCGAGCTGCTCTCTTTCGTCACAGCCTCCTCCCTCGCTCTGCTCTCCTCCTTCTCATCATCCTCAGAGAGCGAGAGCACGTCGAGCGGCCGCTCGCGCAGACGCAGACCGTGGAGCCGTCATGGCGTGAGAGAGCCGCTCATCATGGGCAATCAGGACGGAAAGCTGAAGCGCTCGGAAGCGGGAGGCGCGGCGGATGAGAGCGCGGCTCACGACGGCACAAAGAAAGGGAAGAAATCACGAGGGGAGGGAGGGAAGAAGAAAAACAAATCCGACAGATCCTCTGTGTTCCCTCACATACGCAAGCGCAAGAACCAGAGCAAGGCTAAATTAAGCTTCACGAGCGGATCCAAAGAGGATGCATCGCTGGATGAACTGGACAGCGCTCCGTCACTGTGCAATAAGACGCCCGATCTCTCCGGAGATGAGCTCGGACATTCGGACGCCGAGCCCGAGCATCCGCGTCTGCAGGAGGAGGAGAAGAAGGTGGCGAGCTCCGGATCCGACACGGATATGTACAGCTTCCACTCGGCCGCGGAGCAGGAGGATTTGCTGGCTGACATCCAGCAGGCCATCCGTCTGAAGCAGGGCGTGATGCTCGAGATTCCCTGGGATTGTAAACAAACCCGAAACACTCCCACCCCCGACTCGGAGCCCTTCACCATGCTGGAAGCCATTCCTAAGCCAGAAAACGTGCTTGTTAGTGCACCGCGCCTCCCTGAGGAGGAGGAGGAGACGGCTGTGAACGGACACTTTGTTGCCCTTTGTGTTCCGGTCGCCATGGAAACGGTCACAAAAGAGCCTGAGGCCCCCCCTCCTCCTCCTCCTTCAGTGGTTGCTACAGCAACCAGCACCACCAGCTTCCCCGACCTCACTGCTTCATTTGAAAGCGCCGTGGAGGCCATCGAAGATGATGATCCTGACGTTCCCAGCACGGATACGTTGTCTGACGCCGACGGGCTCGGGTCCACGGGCTCACTGGAGTGTCTCACCATCATCGAGCCGCCCGAAGAGCCTGCCACGTTCATCCAGAGGCGCAAGAGCAGCGTGACGCTCCCGCAGGAGAGTCCTCTAGCCACGCGGCTGCTGAAGCCTGCGGTCAAGCCGTACCCGCCCATCAACACGTCCTACATCAAAACCACCACGCGGCAGCTGAGCTCGCCCTCCTGCTCGCCCGCGCCGTCCCCAGCCCACAGCCCGCTCTTCACACGCGCTCGGGCCAAGAGGAGACGCGTCACGCGCCAGCGCTCCTACAGCATCACCGGCCCCATCAGCCGCTCCGCAGACTGGACCGAGCAGCTCCGCACGCTCCCGCCGAAAGCGGCCGGGTCAGCTGACTCGCTGGAGTACGGCGGCTCGGAGGGGACACTCAGGACACAGCGGGCGTCTGCGACCCGGGCCTCCACCTGCAGCAGCTTCCAGGAGGTTTTCACGGGTGAGTTCTGCGCTCCTTCTAAACTACTGTGAATGTCATTATACATGCAACTTTTATGATGGAGCATTTGTACTTTTAAAAAGTTATTGATGTGTTGTTATGTGCAATGAAGTTGCATCTCTAAATTCTTCCTATTTCATGCATCATTGCTAAAAATAGTTTTTTTCCTATACAAAGTAACAAAAAGCAATGCATTTGTTACAGTCAGGCTTATTATAGTTAACTAAACTGAAACTGATACCATTAAAAAAAATACTTTCGTTACTTGAAATAAAATAAACAATAACTAAAATAATATAAATATATGTATATATTTATATTCTAAATTAAAATGAGGAACATTTGCCTTGGTGAATAACTGAAATAAGTTTATATAGGCTATATATAAACTTATTTCAGTTATTCACCAAGGCAACATTCCTCATTTTAGTTTAACTTGATGTACTGAAATAACAAACTAAAACAGAAGTAAAAATTGTATAGTCGTATATAAAATCACAAAAACACACAACATAATTGCTAAAACTTTAACTAAAATTAAAATAAAAACAAAATATAAAAATAAAAACTGATTCAAAATATCAATGATACTAAAGTAACACTGATTGCAGTATTTATTAATCTTTGTTAATGTTAGTTAATAAAAACAAAGCAACTGTTCATTGTAAGTTCACGATAACTCGGTTCCATTTAATATTTTACATTTAATACAAATCAATTTAATTGATTTTAATAATGTACATGTAAGTGCAAGTTAACATTAAGGTTAATAAATGATTTAGAAGTATTTTTTGTTGTTAGTTCATGTTAACTAGCTAATGTTAAGAAATGGAACCTTATTGTAAAGTGTTACCAAATTCTAGTTGATCGCACTAATCTGGATGACTAGTTCTGACCAGTCACTAGTATACAGTATACACTTTGCAAAATGTTCTGTTTGCTTGGAAATCTGGACGATATAAGCACACTTGCACTGGACACAGTATCCCACAATGCAATGTGCTCGATCTTCCATTTCCGGTGTGATGTAATCAAACAAAATCGGTCACAATGAATCCACAAATCCCAAAGTAACCATATTTATTTGTTATGCCACTGACTGAGTTAAACATACACTGTAATAAGATCATGTGACAACAATGTAGCACACAACTGTTTGAAATGCTCTTTTATAAAGCGGATAGTTCCGGTCCTTGATTCTGATTGGCTGAGCCACGTTCGAAGCTGTTGTAAATGACTCTACAAAGTAACATACACCTTTGTTTACGTTTGTCTGTTGCTCGGCAACCACTTTGTAGCAACCACAACTGTTTCTGAGGAACTACGTTGTTTGGTGGAAGAATACTGAGCACAGACTGAGTCTCTGTCCTGTAGAGAGGCGTTATGGGATGTCTGGAGATGTTGTCATGTGTCTGAGCAGTGAAGGGAAGCATGTTGAGTTTGATCGAGTCACACACTGACACCAAAAACAGCGCAGAGCAAAGCAGAAGCAGCGTGTGAGAGATGCAGATAAACCGGACCGTCGGTGAAAGAGAGGCTGCTCTGTCTGTTGTTTTGGCCGTGGAGTGAATATATTCTCTCTCTCAGTCTGTGTTGTGCTGGCAGAGCTCTTTGTGTTAGTGACTGATGAACAGCTCTGGATCTGAATGAATTCGTCTGAATCCTGAAGAACTCCACTAATAATATGAAACCGCTTGTTCAGCAGTAGCTGCATTTACATGCAATTAAATAATCTGTTAGCAGTGGTGTCGATGGCTTAATCGGACTGAAAAACCTTCATGTGATCACTGCAGTTGATCCGATTGAGCCTACTTCAATTTCATTTGAGTACCTGAAATAATCCAATCAACAAGAAAAAATGGAGAATGTAAACACTGCACTGTTTTCTTAATTGGACTGGATTAAAAAAATCCCTTTTTTGCACATGTGCGGTGCAGTGATGCATGTGTTTACATATGTTTTATGTCTTTCGCACGTGTGTTTATTTACATCTCATTTCTTATGAACTGGTCAGTGCAGGAGACTGAATATTTACTAAATATTTGCTAAAAAGCTCTTCTGACTTATACGTCAGCTTTATTTTTAGATATGCCATCTAGGCAAAAATGGCACTTATGTTATATTATATCTGCCAAAAATATATAAAAGCTAATTGTAATTTTTCTGACTTTTTTTCCCCCAGAATTGCGAGATATTGTGTTTATATCTCACAATTCGTATTTTAAAAAAGTATCAGCTGAATGTATTCTAGTCTTTTTGTCCAGTATTCACCTTAAATGTCTTGTATCGTTTTTGTTAATTGTATGACTTTTGTTATATGTGACCCTGCAGCACAAAAGCAGTGTTAAGTCGCTGGGGTATATTTGTAGCAATAGCCAACAATACATTGTATGGGTCAAAATTATTGATTTTTTTTTATGCCAAAGATCATTAGGATATTAAGTAAAGATCATGTTCCATGAAGATATTTTGTACATTTCCTACCGTAAATATATCAAAACTTAATTTTTGATTAGTAATATGCATTGCTAAGAACTTCATTTGAACAACTTTAAAGATGATTTTCTCAATATTTAGATTTTTTTTGCACCC